TTTTTACATCAATTTCTAGTTTAATTTTGAGCTACTAAAACTCTACAGACATGACAGATATTGAACTGATATAAATATAAGGTTTTGTTGCTTTCATACTTGATTTAGACATTAAAAATATTATTTCTATACCCAGGAGAACTTGAACAACCTCCGATCGCTTTCTATGCACATCATTTGAAAGACCCGGTTCTTGATACTGAAAATGAGATTCTTATATTTGAAAAGACAATCACTAACGAGGGAAGAGGATACGACACGTCCACGGGATTGTTCACAACACCTGTTGGAGGACTGTACCAGTTTGTTGTTCATACATGTGCTGGAAAGAACAGATATACATATCTTGGCCTGGTGTTGGAAGGTAGCGTTATTTCAGCAGATTCTAATTATGGTGATGCATCTAATGGCTGTAATAACTTTGGAGCAATAATAAGAGTTAGATCTGGAGAAAAGGTTTAGGTTAAAGCAACATCGTATCATTTTCAGAACCAGCTTAATCAAGACTCATACACAATGAACACATTTAGTGGAGTTCTTGTCAATTACTGAAGTATAAATAAATCATAAACATTGATGGGATGAAAATCTGATTTCAGTGTTAAAAGTTGACGTGAAACATTTTGATCATTTTTGAGACTCTTAGTAACATAAGTATGTTGTGAAATAAGTCTAAAATTGGCGATTTATCTATGATGTGTCTATATCTTGTAAATAATGTCATTCATACAATGTTTAAGTTTGCATATTGTTAATATTAGTTATTATCTTAAAGTCAAATAAAAGTTTATATCAATTTATTACAGCAAAGACAGCGAACCTTATGTTTATGTAGGTTTTGCTTGTATGTATGATTTAGCAATTAAAGTTTCTATGTTCAAGAAAATAATTAACATATATTGGTTAAATTATATCTATGACAAACAATTGAATATTATCGTATAACATTTTGACAAATACAGCACTTTAAAGGTATGTTATACTCAATTTTGCTCAATTTTGATATTTCAAAAAATATTGATATTTGCTAGACGGCCTCTGTGTAACTGTTTTAAAAAAGGACCACCCTAGAGGGGATGCAGCTTCCAATGCTTAGTTTGTACGTTCACTTATTGATCTAATTCAGTAAGAATGATCTAGATTTATATGATTGCTGCAATAGAATAATTTTTACTCCAAATGAGCATATTATATCATCATTGTCTTATGTAAACTTCTATTCTGTTCCACTTTGTATAAACATTACTTAATCATCTTTCAAAGAATTTCAAAATATGTACATAAAAATGCATTTGCATGTGCAAGATAGGAACTATTTGATTGAAGCTAATGAATTAATCGACTACATTTTAAAGTTTTCATAAATCACCAGCATTTATATTCAGCTAAATATATACCTGAAAGAAATGTTACATATACATGTATATCTCTTTTACTGTGGTTGAAATGTTTTTCTACAAAAATTATTTTTTAACCTTAAAAAGGGAATCTTTTTTTTTTTCATTTTCTGTCAATGATATGAACATCATCCTCTCTCAAATATTTATAATGAATCATATTTATTAGTTAAAGTCAATCATGAGCAACATAAACTTGATGTCCAAGCTGTTTCTTACACACTTTTGAACTGTAAAAATACTTGTTTTTTTTGTTTAAAACTGCAGATTCAACGTCTGTTTATAACATGGCCTGATGCTCTTATATACAACACATGTAATTGTTGTCATGATGTGTATCACATGACAACCGTTGCAAATTTCGTTGTATAAAACGGTATTTTGAATGTCACTGCACATTTATAGTTCACTTTTAAAAGAATTTCCAGATCGATACATTATATTGACTTATGTCCCTTTTTCTGTAGATTACAAAGAATTTCATGATTTGTTTAATTAGCCTACAATCTATACTTAACCATCTAAACTATTATTTAAAAACTAAGATATCTTTACCATAAGCTATAGAATCAAGTCTTTATTTAACATGCAATTCTCTTTTTGTGCCCTGCTATTATGGGTGGCATTTAGATTTACCCTTGTCAGTCCGCCCGTGCGTCCGTTCTCATTTTGTGTCGCATGATGCTCTAAAAGTACTCGTGCTAGAGTCCAAACAAAGTTACATAAATGTTGATCAGCATGTGAAATTATGCACCTACTGTTTCGCTTGTAGATTAATTATGTTTTGCCCTTGAATTTGCAATTTTCAATTTTGTGTCGTGTGTACCTCAAAATGTATTTGAACTAGTGTCATAAAAGTTTACAGGAATGTTGATCAGCATGTGAAGTTATGCACCTTGGGTTCCGCTTGTTGATAGATTATATTTTGTTATTGCCTTTGACTTTAAGTTAGTAAAAATTTCCAATTTTCAATAGATTTATTCATTATTTTTAGAGTGACTGCACTTGGTTAATAAGTTAAATATTGCAATTTTCAACATTTGTCACGTGTAGCTCAAAAAGTTTTTTATCTTGAGTCAGGAAACATTACAGAAATGTTGGTCAGCATGTGCTGCTTTGCACCTGGGAGTTTACTTGTAGATTATTTAGTATTTGCAGTTTTATCACCCTTGACTTAGTACAAATTTGAAATTTTCAACTTGTCTCGCTCGTAGCCAAAAAAGTATTTGACCTATAGCCATGAAACATTACAGACACGTTGGTCAGATGTGAAGTTGTGCACCTGGGTGTTTGCGTGTTATATTCAGTATTTATCAACCTTGACATAGTAAAAAATTTGCAATTTTCAACTTGGGTCTCGCGTAGCTCAAAATGTTTTTGGCCTGGAGTCATTAAAATTTCCGAACATGTTTGTCAGAAGGTTTTGTTGTTCATCTTGGGATTTTTTTTTCCTTGACTCAGTAAAAATAAATTTGCAATTTTCAACTTGTGTTGCGTGTAGCTCAAAAAGTATTTGACCGAACGTCATGAAACTTTACAGAAATGATGATCAGCATGTGAAGTTGTGCACCTGGATGTTTGCTTGTAGATTTGCTAAATACTTGTAGAGTAAATACCCTTGATTTAGTATAAACCATTCCAAAATGCTATGTCATGTGTACCTTCTGTGCTCGAGTTAGAATCAACCAACTTTACATAAATGTTAATCACCTGGGGTTTTGTGTGTCAATTTCGTTTTCAATTTTGTTAGAGTTAAAGCCCTTTGCGCCGTATAAATTTGCAATTTTAATTTGCTCATGCATAGTTCAAATAATATTTGCCCTCTAGTCCTTAAAAAATTACAAGAATGTTGGTCAGCATGTGTTGTTATGCACATGGGGTTTGCTTGTGTATTTATGCAGTATTTGTAGAGTTTTTGCCCTTGATTTAGTTAAAGATTTGCAACTTGTGCCACGTGTAGCCAAAGCCAAAAAGATGACATAGAGTCAGTAGATTGAAAAAAAAAACAACAGATAACAAGTCAGATTTTAATACACACCAGAATTTCTTAATTAATATTTATTGCATCATCTACATATATAATTACAAAACAATATCAAAGAAACAATAACATCTTAAATATTTACATAACATTTATTAAAACAAAAGAAAATTTAAATGAAAACCTGAAAACACCAAAAACCAATTCACAATAATATATCATAGACTGACCATAGAAACTAATAGTTGTTAAACTGACCAGAAACAATATATATGCTGATACAAGTCGTCAATTATTTCTGACACTCAAACCTTCCTAAGATCATATTTTCTTGTGAAAATTCCAGAAACATAATGTTTTCCTGTGATAGACAATATTCAAGAGGTACGTAACAGATGTTAATTGATACAAACTGTTGAAGTTAAAGTAATTTCAAGGAAAACATAATTAATATTTAGATAATACAAACACCATATCTGTAGTTTATAAATATATTGTTCCTTGTATTTATTCATACAGTTATCACAATCATTTTGAAAATATGCTTCTTAATGTCTGATTTTTGTGCAGTTCGATCTTACTGTTTCACAATTCCTTTTCAATATTCAAATCCCTTCGTTACTGGATGTACATGATGTGAATTGCGTTGTTCTGTTTTTGCATGTTGCCGTTTGACGTTTTAATGATGTTTATTCCATTAATGTCCTTTGATATTGCTAATGTCGATATTTATACAAAAATTAATAAAGCCTTTTTTGTATATATTTTAATAAAAGCGGTGACGTTTTCTTCAATTAAAAATATATTTTTCCGTTTAATGGTAATTGTTTTCTTTTTATATTTTCTTTCTTCAGAAACGTGCTTCAAAAAATAAAAGCTTATGATAACCTGAATAAATCTTCTTTTTGTTTTGCATAATAAAAAAGATCAATGTTCTTTTTGTATATCGTACTTTACTTTTAAAAGCAAACTTTTTACAATTTTTTCTAACTTAAGACTTTCCATTAATTTTATCATCGTCTTGTGGTGCTTCGTTTTCTTCATTTTCTGTGTCAAATAATGAATACCCAGAAAAAGACGAATACATGTAACCATGGATATATGGCGCACGCTTTAGAAGTACGAGCCAGACCTGGTCCCCGGATGTTAGATTCAATATGGCGGTGTTTGACGACGTCGCCCACAACGGTATACTCTCTGCCCATATTGTCTCCACCATCGTTCCGTTGTTCATCAACATCGCAGCAGCCTACAAATGCAAACATTTGTAACAAATCAACATTTTTAGATATTTACCTTCTTCGTATATATGGTAATCAATGCTTTAAAGGCAGTATCTTTTGGTAAGACTGACACAATGTAATTGTATACTTAACATGCATTAAAGGGACAATTAAATTTCGTAATGAATGAAATATATATTCTTAAGTTACATTCTTGAACTGGATATAAATTTATGTGTTTGAATCTACATTTTGCATTACTTTGGTAATTATGTTATCATATACATGTACACATTCATATTGTGACCACCTAGATCTATATTGTGTAGAATTTTCAATGTAACATGTCTGCTTTGTGTGAAGTCGAACATGTCATTTATACATGTATTTACAAAGAGACCGTGTTGCAATTATCAATATTTTTCAATATCAAATTTGAGCACAGTATATCTTTTAAAATTCGATTCGTTTCGTATTTGCACTTTGATGTTATTAAACTGACGTCATTAATGACGTCATCAAGGAAAATCTATACCTTTTGTCCCCCCTGGGCAGCAATCACGACAGTAAAATGATACAATCCAGAGAAAGGAATAGTGACTCTTCCAGTTTGTTTATCATAGGCATCTCCAACATTTGTGTGAACCTTATCAAAAACAAGATCAATGTTTCCTTCTATCTGACCCTTGTTTTCGCCCAGGCCAGCAAAGAATGCCATACGATAGGTTTTATTAACAGACTTACCTGAAATATATAAATGCATTCACCATGTATAGTTCGTTCAATTCACAACTGTACATTAAGATATTTCTGGATAAAATGGTCCTATGTCAACTTAAATGTAAACTATAAGAGCAACATTGAAAACAAGGGAATGCTTGACAGGTAGGTACATATGTTTTATCAAAGGTTTGTGCACGCCCGTTCACAGATTCTTATTTTATTTGTAAAAAAGAGCGATTTGGGACCGAAAACTGCTAGGAAACCAGTTTAACATCGCACAAAAAATAACAGTGCGGTGATTCTTATAAGCTTTGTAATGACACTTTATATATAGAACAATGTAATATGTCAGCTCTTAAATCAATGGCCATTATAACAATAAAGGAATAGGAAAGCAGAACGATTAATCTTGTTTTCATAAAGTATAAATGTGATGTTAAGGTTTTGTCTTTTACGTCTTACATCCTCCAGAGCTTGTAATAGGATCAATTTGTATAGAAGGATGATGTTTGTTTGATTTATCTATTGATAAAAATCTTATATTGACTGAAGTAGACATTCCGATATCCGACCTACAATTGCGATTTCAGCACATTGTAAAAACTTATAAAATGACATGTTAAGCTAGTATAAACGCTACAATAATATCATCGTCGCCAAAAATGAAAAGTTTGTTTTCTCGGCCGTTCTTTCTAATTATAATTTTGTTTTGTTGTTAACTGCCACAATTGCATTCAATCGCAAGCTAATAACCAGTTATAAAATACATTCATGCCTAATTTTACAGATTGCTTTTCACCAAAAAATCTTTTATTTCTATGTTTAATGTTATCTTGGTGAAAATGGGAATATTTGCCACTGCCGTTATTTCAATTCCCAAGCTTGGGTTACATGATTTTTAGACGACTATTGTTTAAAAGAAAATTCGAATATTTTGATATATGGTCTTACATGAATAGGCTCAATCAAACCGAGTCTGCAAAATTTTCAATTTTGCCGTGTTTGGCTTTCTTTAGGGATTCTGTTTTTCTCTATTTTAAAATTACATTTGATTCTGTATCTCTTTATACATTTGTGCATTTGCATGTTATTAGTAAAAATGTCTTCAATAACTGAGTTTTATATATCAATTTCAAATATCGCACCATTGTATTGCGTCTGGGTAATTTTGACCGTGGCTTATATTAACTATTTTTAGGTAGCGACACGGCTTATATAGATATTAGTTTCCCGTATACTCCGTTAGGAACTTATATGATAAATTTATGATATAGCTAGAATTTAAAATATTTTTCAGATTACTAAAAGGTTAACACAACAAAAACTTTGTTTTACATGTAAACGTACAAAAATTCAATTTATCGATATACATCATTCTTATCATTTATTGTGGATATTATCTTATTTTGTTCATTTCATTTTTGAAAGAAGCTGATTAGCACTACCTACACACAAAACTACACACAAAATAATATGCATGCAAATATAACCTTGCTTAGACAACAAATTAAAAATCACAGACATTCACAAAGGAAAGTTCTTTGAAGTACTAAAAACATAATTATTGTGCTTTGTAAATACTTGAAATGCATCAAATCACACGTATATTGTTCAAAACGTTGGACTGCTCAGAAAGCCAAAGGCTTATTTCAAATGAAATCCATCAATTATATTTACTTAATGTTTCATGTCATTTTACCAAATAAACCTTGATAAGTTCAATTAACATCAAATGATCTAAGGATATGAAAGTTATTATATTTCCTTTTTTATAACGTGTGAATCTGATTTATGGATAACTTGACGTCCTAATGTCGATAAAATGTTATTTACATAGGGTAAAGTAACATTTTCAAGGACTACTCGTACGCCTTAGCTATGACATTTGACGACCATTTTGAATGTATATGCATGCATGCAAATTCCTATTACAAGGTTGTAACATTGTGACAGTTTCCCTAACAAAGCATTCGGGTGGTCAAAAAATGTATGAGTCCCTGTTGAATATGGATGATATCTTTAAGATATACTAAATTTCCTTTCTTTTATGATGGACACTTATATTTACAAAATATTAAGGACATGGTTCAATACAGTTTGCTATTTTCTATAGTTAACATTTAATATATTCATTTCGCAGGTTAGACTGTCTAATGCTTTCTTTTGGAACACGATGATGAATAATTAACACATCTGGTTGGACATGTGTACCTTTATATGTCACTGAATCAAAGCAGAACACAGTATTGTCTTTATCTACTATCCTATGATTTAGCAACCCTAATATTCCTACTTGAATAAGGTTAAATCACCCGCGCAGTCTGATCAGGATCCATGCTGTTCGTTATCAGTTTTTCTACTTGTAATAGGGTTTGTAAGCGAACAGCATGGATCCTGATCAGACTGCGCGGATGCGCAGGATGGTCTGGATCCATGCTGGTCGCAAACGCATTATGTTGGTTTTGTCATGACACGGCTCAAATAAATATTAACGTACTTATCCGAAAACGTATTGAAGTTAAGTTCTTTCATGTGTTGTTTTCGCTTATTTTTCTACAAAGGGAAGTAAAACCGTTTGCAACCAGTGTTCGATAATAGTACTTGATATTTCCCTTTCATTGAAAGCTATACTATAGATATTTTGCTTAAAAGTTTAGACGATATTCTTAAACTAGTCACTGCCAATATTTGTCCATCAAATTTAAAATTTTGGATTGTAAAAATATATGCATTGAATCAGCTAAACCTTACACACATTCGTTTGTTTTGTTTTCAGTAAATAAACGATGCATTATGTTTAGGGAAATAACACCTTTGTCATCTAGTATTTGATCAGAGTAGTTGTTATTTCCCTTGAATTGAAAGATATATTACTTAAAATTTCGAACTATTAAAAAATCTTAAACAAAACTGTCGAAGATTTTACATTATATCAAATATATCAATTCACAATTTTGAATCTTAATACTTTGCCTTGAATCAGCTAAACCTTACACATCTATTTTTTTAATTACGAAAATGAACAACTTAAAGTTACATTTTTTTCAATTATTATTTGAGGAAACCGGTATAAAAAGTCAAGTAGTCGGAGGCCAATAAAGATATACATGAATAATAGAAAGAACTACCAGGTAAGTTATCAGTAGACAGGAAGTGCATGTTGGTGAAATCAATATATGTTTATTTTTTTATTAGGGATAATTGTAATAAGGTATTTTCTTACTTTGATGTAGAGGAGCGTCGAGTGTGTTAGTCATAGCACTTCAACTTTTTTTCTTTTTTTACTAAGGTAACAACACTTACGTCATTTTTAAAAAGTGGGGCCTCAAATTTAAATTTTTTTTTTAAAGCAGCCTGATCGGGACTTGAATAAGGTACCATAGAAATATTTACCGCGACTCTACCGATTGAGCTAACCGACCGCTTACACACAATCTCCCCTACTTAGTGAACAGTTCTAAACTTCGAAAATAGAAATTAGCTTCAGAAATAAAAGGTCCTAAGTTTGAGGTCAGGTAAATGTCCTATTTACTTACTTGTATGAGAAATGGTTCTGAAAGGCCCATTATACAACAGAAATATTTTTATGTCTTTAATTTTCAGTGTGTCCTGTTATAATTTCAAAAAATAACACATTTTCTTAGCAATCTTTTGCTCGTGTTGCTTTTTGGCAATAAGTTCAGATACAGTGATTTTGTATGGAAGTCAAATACTACTTTCTTGACATATTTTCCTACTTTTATGACGAAAAATTCTCATTCAGCTCTAATTCCTTTTTTACTTTTTTATTAGAAGCATTTGACATAATCTAAAGCAAATATTTGAACGCCATGACTGCCGTAAGCATTTATTCGTTTCAATGTCAAAAATATGCTATTAAGTAATGTGTCAATATATGGAGAAAAAGAAAACATGCATGTATTTCAAAAATAGCAAAAACTCGTAAATTAACGTTATTTTAATGGAAATAATTCGGTTGTGTTTTACCATTTGACTTTTCTTTTATATATAGAATATATAGACATTTTTAATAAAACAACCGGTTAAAGAAATGATTACGCAGTTATCCAGTTACGTGCCGATTGAAGTTTGATATCAAGATGCGAAATTGATACACGTATCAAGATAAAATTAACGGTTAATATCTTTAAAATCTTTTAGAAATTAAACCTCTTATAAACTTGTGATCTGTTCTATGCCTTGATTTATCTAGCCATAAAATTCGTGACCACAACTTCCAATGAATCCATCGCAATTTATTATCATCACGATTAAGATGCAGATATAACTTTAAAATCTAAGCCGCATTATCTTCCCGAACATACAGATACTGATAATTGGGGTAGATCATAATTATCTTTACAGACAAATAAAAAAGTTCCGGGTGAAAAAGGTTACAAAAAAGCTAAATTTATTGCAAATATGTTTTTTAATTTTTACCTGTCAGTGCCTTTGCCGCAGGGTTAAATATTTTAGGACTTGGGGATCACAGAAACAAAATCACGGCGTATGTATGATCTTTAATTAATCCAAGTAACAATAGTGTAGAAAGATGATAAACGTATTATACATCTTACAAATACAATACATATAAAAACAAAATGCAATGAAATAACAATATGTACACAATCGACGTGAAATAAGAAAAAACAAAAAAGACGTAAATAAGATATACAATCAATATCTCAATTTTACTGATATTATTTCTTACCACAGAGTCTATATGAAAATTATTTCAATACAAATTGAAATAAAGAAACGGTAAATCTAGTTTTAAATACTATATATAACATAAACGTCTGACTCGTAAGAAGTGACTGTAAAGAGTGATCGGTACAGAAAAAAGCAAGCAGTGCGCAGAAATTAAGAATATTAAAAAGAATCATGTTTTGATGCACGTTTCGTGTTATCGTTACGATAAGTAAATGTTTTACAAGGATAATTAAAGATTGATGATTAAGATAAAATTGTTCGATATGTCTACTTTACAAGAATATACTTTCTATGCTTAAGTATATATTTTAAGTGTTACCTCTATATATTTAAAATATACAACTAGTATGTAAGCTATTACAGATTTAGTTTGCATTATGTTTTGTATGTTTAAGTAAGTCAGTTTTTAATTCATGTGCATACAGATGTGAAGAAAATCAAGTTAAAATAAGCGCATATTCACCACGGTAATATGTGCTGTTGTGTTATCCGTCAAATAGAAAAAAAAACTATATAATTTTACAACTTTACTAAGCATTAATTATACACTTAAAAAGTGTGGATAGGGTACAAGACAAAGTTGACATTTTAATTCATTCCAGCAGGACCTAGATATACAATATAAATTTGCATGGCAAGTTTATATATATCGTCGTTCTGCAAAACTGAATCATTTTCAATTTTTCAATACTGGCGAATAAATTTTGTTGATAAGTCACAAATGAGGACATAACTGAGAAGACAACATCAGAAAGGAAAAATTAAAACAATATAGACCAATATACTTACGCCTACGAGGACATGGCTGTAATGATTGACATACTTTTAATAATTTTATTGTTAAATGTTGAATTCTGCTTAAGCCGGTGCTAGGGGGCGT